CTGTCTGGCGCATTCGAATAACATCACAGCATCTCACTAAATTTGAATTCGCAAAGGGCTGTGTCAGCGTTTTGTTTGTGAAAGTGTGTTTAATTCTACTCTTGTCCATTTATTCAAAGCTTTTTCTTTCATTTTGTTTTGCATTTCCTTTGTGCAGATTTTGCTCTTGTGCTTCTTGCATACTAACTTGCTTTATGTCAGATTGGTCTCTGCATCAGCAATTCTGCACTGAGCTCAGTGTCATTGCATGAAATTGTCAGCTTGCATGAAAGTCCATGCTAATAAAGCCATTAAAGAATTTCAAGGCTCATGAATTTCAGCCTAAAATTTGCATATCACCAAATTCATTGGGTAATACATTAGAAAAAAGAAAAGGTCCCACACATTGTTGTAACTTGCAGATATTTAATAAACAACAGTGTTTCCAATGCCAACTGAGGAAGAAATGCTATTATTAAATAAAGATTTAAAAGCTACAACACTTTATATTATTATATTATATATGTTTGTATTTGGTGAATATTTTAATCTCAGATTGGTTGCTTCAGTAGAAAAAATAGAAATGTGACATACAGAAGATAGATTCAGGTGCGTCACTGGTATAAATGTTCTCTTTATTGTATATGTAATGAATGTTTATGGTCACATATGCATGTTTATTGCACATTGCAGGGAAATTTCCTTTAAGAAAGGTGATGCTGTCAACATCATCAGACAGATTGACAGTAACTGGTATGAGGGGGAACACAGAGGACGGATTGGGATTTTCCCCATCTCTTATGTCGAGGTAAATTTTAAATAACCTATTTTATTGAACTACATGCCTAATCACATTTCCTCTTGCTTTCTCACTATTTCTCTCATTTTCTCCTTCAGAAGGTGGCGTCTCCAGAGCGGAGGCAGCCTGTCAGGCCTCCTCCTCCGGCTCAGGTTCGAGAGATGGGAGAGGCAATAGCACGATACAACTTCAATGCTGACACTAACGTGGAGCTTTCTCTTAGAAAGGCAAGTGTAAAGCCCTATATCACACCCTACCATCTTTCAGTCGTCCACTTTCTATTTAAAGCATGCATGCATGCATGTTTTTGCTGTTGTAGGGGGAGCGAGTGATCCTTCTAAGGAAGGTGGATCAGAATTGGTATGAAGGAAAGATTCCTGGTTCAAACAAGCAGGGCATTTTCCCAGTGTCCTATGTCGATGTGATCAAGGGCTCTCCTTCCAAGAGCCCCAGTCACCAAGGAGACACGCACACATATAGGGCACATAAGGTAAGTCTTTAGCACCGGTTTTGGACCGTCACATCCACAAAGTCTGTCCTATAAGTCCAATAAGTTCATAAACCAGTCACCCTGCTTTCTTTTTCCTTTGCTCAAGCACTATACAGAGTCCTCCCATTTGCAGTGTCTTGATTCTGCCACTAAGACACACCTTCAAACAGTCACTAGCGAATGGCTGTCTCTCACATTGGGTGTCTCCACCACTTGCCCATCTTCCTGTGGCAGTCCAGTCCCACCCACCCCTCCTCCATTACCCAGAAATCTACACCACACTGGTCCCCAGTCCCCTGCTCCACTTGTGCGAAGGTTCACCGCACCAAAAAACCTTTCCTCAAAAAGCTTCCCTTTTCCTAGCCAAGGACCAATCACTTCAGAGTCCTCAAATATTTTGCTTTATTCCAATGAACGTCCCTACAGAGATAAACTGACAGCAATAGATGTACCAGAAACATTCGGTTTACCAGTGAAACGGATTATAGACCATAATCAAGCTCTGTTAAGAATGGAAAGAAAGGGGCATGATGGTAAAAAGTTCTTAGAAGATATGTATTTAAAGGAGCAAAGCTTGAAACAAAACTATGACCCATCCAGACTAATAAATGAACCTGATCCATATGGAGAACTTGTGTCGATATTTCTGAAAAATCAACTCTATGATGAACTTGAATTCCGATTGGCCAGTCGATCAAAAAACATGGCTAATCGAGAAGTATTACCTGATAAGCCACTGTCCATCAGTGCAAGCCACAAATCAGAAAATATACTGGATAAACATCATGATATCTATGAGAAAAAGGCTGAGGAGCTGTTGTCAGTAATTTTGAATGAGAAAACAGAGATTTACAGTCCAGTAGCTGCTATAAAATGGGAGGAACTTCCTGAGTTGTACATAAAGGAAGAGGATGATGAAACAAACAAAAGATCAGGCTTGGAGACTGTTTCAAAAAAAGAGGTAGAACATGCAGTGTGACAAAAGCATGATAGCCTGGTGGTGTGAAAACTCTTATAACCTTAAGTTTAACGATAATTTTTTTAATTCTGAAAACTTTCAAAAAAAATGTACACAAAACATTTGCATGTTCATTGACTAAATTAAAGGGGCCATATTAAACATGGTTTTTCCCTTTAAATTCCAAATATGTATGCCCACTCCATGATTATAACGTTATGTTATATTATAAGCATATGCTGCAGTTATTGTTGTCTGCTGCTTTAAAAGCTCAAGCACTTTAAAGATGGATTCTTACTGGCTGTCAATATTTTTATCATTCATGAGTTTAACAAAAAAGAAAATGATTTCAGCTATATTGTTCTTCTGCTGTTATTTTTATAGCTGTGGTGTGGACTTCCCTATTCTTACAGAATTAGAATGATTATTTTAACCTTAGTTATTGTTAGAGTTATTGTCCTTGGTGTGAACAGACTTGTAAATAATATAAGAAACAATGGTTACTTTTGGGTTGCAGGTTTTAAGCAGGGTCCAGTATAGCTTGGAAAGGTTTACGAAAAGGTGTCTAGATCACAATTTTGCTTAAAAGAAGAATAGGGGAAAAAGGTCTACTATTAGGAAACAATATTTACAGATTTTATATTTATTTTCATGGCAATAGAGCTTATTTTACCCCTCAATTTCTCTTTGCCACAGTGTTTAATAGAGTCTCATTCTCATTATTGTAAAAAAAACACAAAAAAAAAACAGGTGTTGATATGTAAACTGATGGTTACGTGGTAAAGATTTCTGAACAGAAATATATAGTCAGCCTCAATCCTATTTCAAAAGATCAAGGAAAATCCTGTTTACTGTGATATGGCCCCTTTAATAGTCTTTGTCACACTAGTCGTGTGTGTAACTTTGACAATCTAGTTCAAAGTTGTGAAAGTTGTAGTTGAACAGCTCTGTCTTTCTCTTTGCCAGGCTGACTCCACCTCCATCACTCCATCTCTGTCATTCTCCACCTTCCCTATGCTTAATTCCTCCCTTACTCTCTCTTCCATTAGTTTTTCTCCACCACACATTGAATCATCTGCCTCTGCTGTTCACTATTCTCCACTGTCTTCTTCCAGAGTTTCTCCATGTCCTCCTCCTCCTTCTATTCCTCTTGCTTCATCTATTCCTTTGGTGCCCTATTCCTCCTCTGTCCTCCAAACCTCAGTTGTTTCTTCTCCTTCAGACTCTCCTCTCCCTCCATTATCTCTCTCCACTCCTCCTCCTTCACCTCCTCTGTCTCCTCCAAACTCCCCAATCCCTCTTCCTCCTCCTCCTTCATCGACTCTCAATATTCCTACTCCTTTGCCTTCTTCTTTCCTTTCTAACTATCAATCATCTCCTCCTCCACCTCCCTCATTTCTGCAACCCCTTCCTCCTTCTGTCCTCTCTCAGCTTTCCTCTCCTACTTCCACTCCTATTCTTTCAAATATCCCTTCCTCCCACTCTCCTTCTCCTTCCTCCTCTCCTCATCTCTCCCCAATCCCTCCATCTCCTCCTTCATCTCCAATTCCTTCTTTGCATCCTCCTCTTTATTCCTCCTGCCAGCCTCTTCTACCAACTATTCCGGCCTCTCCACCCTCCACTCCCTCTCCTCCTCCATGTTCTTCAGACCACATCCCATCTCCTCCCAGCTCTCCTTCACTCCTCACCTCTCCTCCTCCCTCCTCTGTGCCTGTAGTCTCCACTCAGCCCTCTATTCCTCCTCTCTCCCCACGTTCACAGCCTCGTTCTCCTAAGATTAAGGTAAAAAAAGAATGAACAAAACAATGTATTCAGGGCTGCTGTGTGGTGCATGTGATGTACAGCCTGTAATGTTTTCTACATTAAACACACATTAAAAGTAAGATCATATGGGGATATGAACCTTGAACCCTCAGGGAAAAAACAAAAAAAAGGCTTGTATTGCAGTAGAAGTATTAATTTGACACAATGACAAGGGTTTTAAGTAAGGTCTTAAAGGGCTAGTTGACCCCAAAATGAAAATTTTGTTATTATTTATGCATTTTCATATTGTTCCAAACCACCAATAGAAATATCAAGCTGCCACGCTGTTCCTGATGAGCAGAGCCAAGCTGCGACATATGAACCACTTTTATGGTGCCTTTATGGTGTTTTCTGTTGCCATGCTATGATATATTTTATATCAATACAATGTTGATTATCAATTGATTTATTTATTTATCTTTATTGACTGAAATTGGATATTTAATTGTGCATACTGAATTTAGGGCTGCCCCCTAATAGTCGACTAATCGTTAGTCGACCAGAAGAGGCTTGGTCGACCTAAATTTTATTAGTCGCTTAATTGCAGAAAAAAAAAATCCACATTATTGAAGTCACGCAGTGAGGTGCCGGTGCATCACTTGCTCTTAAAATACTCCCTCATTTTTGGGCATACAGATAAGAGTAATCAATCTTTCAAATCTGTAAAGACTCTACGTTTATTTTTGTGCACTCACAATAACAACAGAACACGCTTTTGTAAAATAATGAAAGCAAACAGGATGCGCTTTCTGCCGCCTCGGTCTCTGTGAACTTGAGCGCGAAACTCCGTGTATAAATGAAGTATATCTATAGAGAGTAAAATGTCTACTTTCAAATGAACCAATTCAAATGGAAAACAAATATTCTCAGATTATGTATTCCGTGAGAAACATGTATACAGGCGTATCACTACTGCGGAGATGACGAGTCAGTGTTGCTGACTTCATCTCTTAAGCCGAACGCACGAACGAAAGAAAGCACTTGTTTATCAAATTATTAAAATGTTAATGCAGTCTCTTTACTGTTTTTCCCTGACACATTCATAATCATTACTTCTGCGGTGCGCTGTGGCAAGCTTTATGCGTGTGCTTGAGCACTTATTAGGCTATGTAGGCAATTAAAGGCTCATTATAATGATTTAAATGGTTTATTACAGTTTTTCTGAATTGCTAAAACACATTTCTTGAAACCATCACTCATTTTCTCAAAACCTGAAACACTAATCCGAATACTCAAACTAAATTCACGAAACCTCTGACTCTTCCATCAAAATCAAACAATCGCTGCAAAACCATTTCACTTGCACTCAAAATCAAACGGTGCTCTCAGATCACACACACATGAGTCAATAAAATAAACACTACAGAGCATTCATTAGACACTACAGGGAAAAATGGAGAACACAGCATCCAGAACATTACAGAAAACAATATATTGTATTGAGTAAACAATTTAGCAATTCTGTAAAAAAGTATAGTAATTGCAACTGAGTAAGGTGATTATATTGTATGTACTGCAAGAACAGTATTGTGCTGAATATTGAATAATACTGAATGTTTGTATTGTATATATTCAGCACTTGGATACTGCAAAAATACTGCAGTCCAACTGCAAAGGCCAAAAAGGTCAAATAAAACTCTAAATGAATAGCATGTTACAGTACACTCAAATACTGTAAGTTGTGCAATTGTAAAATCGCGGTCAGTGAGAGATTCATTCTGTCTCAGCATCATGTCTTTGTGCTTGAGTCCGGCCTGAGGACTTTG